CCGGCGCATGACAGGGGTGGGAGGCCGTCCCGAGGTGGTGCTGGAAGGCAGCTACGACAGGGAGCACTGGACGGTGAGTGGGGGTGTGAGCAATGGAGTCCCCCAGCTTGGCCGGGTCACCCTGCTGGCTTTGGGGGCCATCGGGTCTCTCCTCCGAGGACCTGGCATCTATTAGGCCGTGAATTGGGCTTTAATAGGGTCTGTGTCACACAGGGTGTTGCAGGTCCTGGGGAGCTGATGCATCACCCCCAGCCAAAGCTGGTGCCGGCGTCCATAGCACACGGCATACCCGTGCCAGTCGCCGTCTTTTTCCCGCCTTGGCTTGGTCCCTTTGGCCGCTGCTGCGGCCCCCACCCCAGAGCCAGCTGCCTTTCAGGGAGGGGCAGTGATGCATGCGGGGGGGGGGGCTCTGCAGGGAGCCTCCCAGGTAAGGGGTGGAGGGGGCAGACCCAAGCACCTGCCCCCACCGCTGGCTGCAATGCCAACCTGCCCGCCCCATTGCCACAGGAGATCGAGTTCATGTACAAGCCAGGGAACATCAGCGCGGCGCCGCCCCTGGTGGCCCCCCACCAGCCCCGCCTGGACTGGCAGATGTGGTTTGCAGCCCTGGGGCCCCACACCCACAGCCCCTGGTTCACCAGCTTCGTGCACCGCCTGCTGCAGGGCAAGGAGGAAGGTGAGCAAGGGGTGGCGGGGATGTAGGTCTGGATGTGTGCCCTCAGCCGGCCCTCCTGCCATTCGCTGGCCCCGTAGTGCTGGGGCCAGGCACAGCATGGGGTCCTGAGCTGATACCACCCCCCCGGTCCCCGCAGTGATCCGCCTGATCCAGGTGGACAAGTCCAACTACCCGTTCAGCGCGCAGCCGCCCACCTACGTCCGAGCCCAGCTCTACAAGTACTGGTTCACAGAGAGCTCCAGCAAGGGGTAAGTGCTGGGGGTGGGGGTCTCCCATGGCCTCCAGGAAGTGGAGGGGGGAGCTGGTCTTGCTGGTCATGGACAGAGCACTTGGGGTGACCGTGCATGGGACAGAGATAGGGTCGGGACCCAGCCGCAGCCCAGGGCAGGGAGCTGGGCAGAGCTACGGTGCCTGCAGAGACTAGCTCCCCACGCCACGGGCAGGGTGATCCCTGCAGCGCCTCCAGGGCTCTGCCTGGTCCAAACAAGCAGCAGAAAGGCAGGTGCCCCCAATCCTTAGGGGGGGGGGGGGGAGCTGGTGTGTCAAAACCACCCCCCTGGGGAGGGAGCTGAGGGCTGGGCTGAGTCCGCCTGTCCCGCAGGGAGCCCCCGCGGCAGTGGTGGCGGCGGCAGCACGTGGAGCAGTTCTACCCCACTGTGTCCCTGGGGGACCCCACGCTGGACGCCCTGCTCAGCCAGCACGGGCTCAAGGTAAGTGCCGCCGGCAGGGCCCTGGGCTGGGGGGCCACGTGCCAGGCTGGGGAAGTACCAGCCCCCTCACGCTGTCCCGTCTGCCTCCCTGCAGGACAAGGCTCCCCTGAAGCGCCCGGCGGAGGCCGCCCTGCCGCGGCTCCTGCAGTTCGTGCGCGAGCTGAGCCGCCCCTACGCGGCCCCCACCCTG